AACCTGCAATCTTCGGATCCGAAGTCCGACGCCTTATCCATTAGGCCACACGGTCACTTGCTTCTTGCGTGGCAAACATAATATTTCTAACAAAGCATATAAAAGGCACAATATTTCTTACAAAATATCAAATGTTAACATTTTACAGACAACTAAAAATATTTCATTATTATTATTAATACAAAAAAAAAAAAAATAAATGGCATTTTAAAAATTAAAAAAAAAAAAAAAAAAAAAAAACAGAAAATAATTATAAAATTAATACACTAAGAAACAAAAACTCAACCAAGAAAGAAATATAAATTTTTAACCAAACTTATTTTTTCTATTTTTTATGCTTTTTATTTATGTAATTCTTAATAATCAATTATCAAGAATAAAAAAATTTAGTCCTTTTAAATAATTTGTATTAAGGTTAGAATGATAATGAATTAAACTTATTTATATTCAAAAATATTTTATTAAGTTATTATAAGAAATATATCAATAACTTTATGGCAAATAATATCATAATATTATGACCACAGTAACAATAATAAATGAGTCAAATTCATGTGCGGTACAGTTCTTCTCCTGGGGAAGACAAAATATAATATCTAAGCTTCTAACTGTAAATAAATTCGCAATCATCACGAGCACGCTCCACGCGCTCTCTACCAGAAACAGCCGGATCATCCGCTTGATCATCACTACTCAAATCATCAGAGCTGTTCGCACGTTTTAAAACTCTGCTTGGGATATAACCATTGCAAAGCAAAAAGGATTCAAAACTCTTTATTCGACGACGGCGCTCCTTTTCCATTCGATGAAGCTTTTCGTAATGTGGCTTCATAAATTTATAGAAACTAAAATCCAGCGGATATGGAACTGCCAGAGCCTTTAGTACGCTCACGTAGACAGTGCGACCCTGCATACGATGCCTGAGGTTCTCGAAATGGCAATGAGTGTTCACAATAAACTGATAAATGGGCATTGTAGGATATACTGCAGGCGTCAGTGTCCAAAAAACAATACAGCAGACATTGTGCAGCTGAACTTCATAAGGCAGCATATCTTCCGGAAGAGCAATTTGCAGTTCCAGCGTACAAGCAGTTTGATAGTAAATGACCTCGGGTCGAACTACATTTGACGGTAGCTGCAGCTGTATTTTGTCGATAATAGAATCAGTAGAAAAAGCTGATTTATTAGTAGCGCCTGGCCGTGCCTCCAGCTTCTGTTCCAGCTTCGTCATATTATTTCGCGATGCATCAGGCATGTTCTCGATACAATCTTTTTTTAGCAGGTCATTCTCTTCATTATCCTGCTGCAGCTGCATCATTGTGCATTTCATGAGGCAATTGCACAATGCTTCTATGCTATCCTCCGATTGTTGCTGCTGCTCTGCCTGCTTCGTAGTTTGTACGTCATCCAGTTGTTGCTGCTCCTCCACCTCCCGTTGCTTTTGCAGCAGGCGCAATCTATTCTGTTTGCCCAGCTGCAGCGCCATTTTGACAAAGATGCCAGCTCTGCCTGTGAGCAAAGTTGCTGTCTTCATATTTGGCTTTTGACGCGGGAGCTCGGACATTTCCGGTAAATCCAGAGCTTGGCATGGGTCCCTCTCTAGAAATTGCAACAGTTTCGCCTCGGCCTTTTTGCATTTCTTGGCCAATTGCTTGCGCAGCAACTGCTGGCAAATGGTGAGGCTTCGCACATGCAACTGCAGGTTGGGTGCATAGCTTGTCACTGCCAAGTCGTGGACAAAGACCGTATGCGACAGAACCATCAGAATACGTGCCTGCAAGAAACTGGGTTTCGGCGTGGAATTTAGCCAGGATTCACATTGCTTGCCATCACTTTCGTGCCAATCGCGCTCGCCCGTATAGGGCACCAGGCCCACAATGCGCACATCTATAGCTAGTGGCGGCTCATCTTGTAATTGTTCCGGGCATATGAACAACTTGCCGCTGGTGGTCGTAAACTGTCGAGTGTCCACGTCCAATGCCTGCACCGACACGGATAAATCACTCCTCGAGAGATTCAACTGCGCAATAGGGTCCACTCGCAATATCCGCACGCGTTCGTAACCACTCGAATTGCGATACACACAGATTTGGTTGACCAGAGGTGGCCAGACACGCACACACTCCTGCGATTGTAGCAGCTGTAGCTGCAGCTCCAACGCTCCGTTGCGAGACAGCGCTTGCCAGCTGCCACCGGGTGGCAAATGCTCTAAGAGGCGGACACAATAATGCGTAGGGGTATAAACACGTATTAGCTGCAACTTGACATCCCCACGAGCAGGCATCTGCGGGGGCAGCAGACGATCATGCATCAGCAGCTGATGGCGCTGTTCGCATTGCGTATCGACACATTCCCCAAAGCTGAGCATCAGTTGGCACAGAGCCGACTCATTGCTCTTGGCGCGCTCTATCCTCATACGTATGCGGCGAGCCAGCTGGACAACAAGTTTGTCCACTTCCTGATGCATTTGCAAGAAGTCCACCAGACGCGGCAACTGATTGTTATTGCTCTCATCCAGCAAGACCAGGGAAAGTAAACGATCTGTAAATGGGAATTCAGTCAATATAGCTACTATATTCAGTCCACTTACCTTGCTCAGACTGCTGTTGCCCTGTTTGCTGCTTCAGGTCTGTGGCCGCCAATTGGTTGTTCAGATTGTCCGCGAGTGCCAGATGACGCAGCTTAAACAGACTCCAGCTATCGCTCAAGCTATAATGTAACAGCGTGTGAGCGTGTCGCACATCCAGCTCCGGGCAGTGATCGGTGCAAAGCAACAGCTCGCCTCGACTATCCTGCATCCAGCGATGCACATGATCGCGCACCTTTAAGTCAGCCGTTTGATAATAGGGCAAACAATTATAGCCATGCGACACCAGCGTCTCCACCAGCTCACGTATGTCCGAATCCGATTGGCAATTGACGACAGTCCGATGCGAATGCGGCGGACGCTCGCGCAGTACACGCAACACCTCTTGACACTTTGCCTTTCGCTGTTGAAGAGAGATTTGCAGACGCGTGCCGCCATAGATAGCCGCCTCCAGCACATCACCAAAGAGCACCATGAGCTGGGAATTAAACTCGCGTAGCTTGGAAAGCAACTGCGGCTTATACGATTGCGAACTAATAACTAGCTGTGGTCGTTCTGGATTGGTCAATAACAGCAGCTGTTGATGGGCCTGTTTCAATTGCTCAGCTTGCATCAAATCTGCATCATCGTAAGCCACAAATCGCAGATGGGGTAACTTTAAGCTGTTCCCGCATACCCACAGGAACTGAGCAGGCGTGGCCACCATGCATCCCACGCCGTTGAGTAGCCGCTGAAAGAACTCCGGTGTATAGGAGGAGGGCACTGTTAGCACCAGTGTCAACCACTCCTCGTTCCTCGACTTGCGCAACATTGCGGCGCAGAGTGCACTCACTTGCTGCACTCGAACCAAATCGGTGACCAGTACCAATGCAATAGGGCCCTCCAAGCACCAGCGCGCGCGAGAACGATGCTCGGTCAAGGTGTTGCTCACCACCTGACACAGCGGCAGTACATAACTCAATGTGCGTCCACTGCGCGGTGCACTCACAATAACAGCGCCATGGCCTGCGCCTTGGTTGAGATGTGGCCAGGCGTAGCTTTGCAGTCGCAGCAGTTGCGTCAATCGCAAGCGACGCATCGCACCTTGAATGTGGGGCAAAAATGATACCTCGTTTACATGGCGCGCAGGCTGCAGGCGCTTGTTCGAGTGGGCTACGGCGTAGTCTGAGCAATTCGCAACAAGCAGAGGTCGACAGTGCTGCGCAAATGAAAAGCTCCTGTTTTCATCATAGCACAAACTTTCATCATCGTCATTATTGTTGTCGTCTGTTAAGCACTTCGCCGACCACATATCCAAGCTGCAAATGCTCTCAATAGTTTTTCTTATGCTACTAGTGAAGTTGGCTGCGCTTAAGCCAATAAATACTTATTGGACAAAGCAACGGCTTGAGTATCGAAATCGGTTGGTATTTTTGCAACCATTTGGTATTTTTTAATGCGTAATTAATTAATCAAATATATTTTCAATTGTATTATACAAACTTTTGCAATCAACTTAACTCTTCCATCAACTTTAAAAATGACAGCTTATTCATTACAAGGTGATTCCTTTCTAATATACCCTATATGTATTTAGATCACTAGCGTTCGACACGCTCATTAATTATTTGCTGTACTATCAGTCCGCTTAGAATTTGCCTCGCTACCCGACAGCCATGGCAGGGACAATTCGGTGAATTTGGTATGTGCTGCAATGTGGGTGGACTCTGTAGACGTCGCTTAAGCTCCAGCAATCGTTTTCTATCCGTGCGTGATTTGCAACAGACGACACTATAGATGATAAGACCTACCAGTGTTGCCAGATCAGTAATATTAACTTATGGCCTGCCAATCTTCAACTGAAGAATCTTACCTCCACCGACGATCAAAATGTGCAGCATGAGAGCCACAAAAGCCACTCTCCTCAATGGATCCAACGGCACATAATGAATAGTTTCTTTCATAGTGTTCCTCATGATTGCATATTCATTTGACTTAGTCGTATTATCAACGTCATCTAACAAGTGCGTCCCATTAAACCAGTCATCGCCTGAAATATTTGACTCCAATAAGACATCCCTCAAATTGACGAACTACTTCCACTTGCCCGTAAAGTTGTTGGCCTCCAAGAATTTAGGATAGGCTACGAGTAGGAGCAACAACAGCGACAGCAATAACTCCATCAGACTTGCTTTTAACGCCTTTATTATTTTCTCTATTGTGGTTTCTTTGCCTTTTGCTCACAAACTGAAGCTTCGATCCGCAACGGCTCTAATATGAAGTCTTGCTCGATCAATTAAACGGACAAAAACAGCTGCGAGCAATCTGTTTGACTTAGGTACGAACATTTGGATTTGGACTGTCAAACCCCATAGATAACGTTAAGTGCTGGTACGTAAGGTGACTTCTGAAAATATTTCTCAATTTGTTTTCATCTAAATATTTGTCATAGATTGCAAGTACATACATACATCGGGACAACGTATTTTTCTAATTATGAAACATTTTAAACATAGATATAAATCAAGTAGTTAATAAACTTTTAACTAGGTATTCGTTGAGCGCCATCGAAATATATTTATTTGCAGAAATTATTCTTTAATCATTTGATGAATATACATACATATTATAAACTGCAATCTCATATTGTACTTCGCTTTTTAAGTTTTTCATAGGGCTTAAAAATCATGATAGGTAATTTAAGGCCTATTTTAAATAAAAAGAACGCGACTTTTATTCTTTATCAGACTTAGAACTTATGAGAGGCATGAATCAAAGTCGAAGACATATATATATATATATATATGTATTCAATGCCCATTAACAAAACAATTATAGTCTGATTTCTCATTTTCCACAAACGAAGCGTATACATACATATAAATTATAACAAAACTCATTGCATTGAAGCCATTGAAATGAATTTTCGTCATTTACTAATAGGGAAAGGTGGCTACTTGCCAATCATCACATGTTGATATTTATTGGACCGACATAAGAAAAATAAGATAAATGGTCTATGTTTTATTAAGCCAAAATAAAAGCTAAATGACGACAGGAATGGAGGGACTGACATATAGGGTTTAGCATCCATCCCTCGATCAGTCATATAAAATTAACACTGTGTAGATTGTTAGTTAGATAACAAATTTATAAGAATGATTCCTTAAGCAAAGTATGTACAAGCAAATGCTGCGCTTTGTTGTTTGTTAAACCTAATAGAACTCTACATTCCAAAGATTCAAGAATCATTGACTCAACACTCGGTTCCATTCAGACAGTCCTCGAGGCAACGCTCCTTCCGCGCCCTGCTGCAGCCGCGGCAGATGCAGTCCACGGCATTGGGAGTGTGCAAAAAGGTCAACTCGAGCACACGGGCCGTCTCAGCGGGCATAGAGGGCCAAACAATGCTCTGCGTGCGTGGAGCGTAGGAGTCCAGGCTCTCAGCTCTTCGTCTTGCCAGGCGACAGCAGGTACAGACAAGGCAACCTGTGAAGGGGTCAACGGTTAGTACTCCAAGTGTGAAGCAGCTACGCACCGACCTACCCAGGCAGCCAAGAAGAGTCAATGCCAATGTGGCCAGGCCGGTTAGGAAGAGCATACGATGGCTGTGGTAGACAGCAGTTAGAACGGTCGCAAAGTTCTGGCTCGGACTCTCGCTCACACAGACCGACTCGCACATCGTTTGACAAACTATGATTAATAATGCCCACGTAATGGAAATGCATCGTGTGCGCTCACCCAAATCCATTTCGTTAATGACTAAAAGTCTTGCCGCAGCTCCACTGCAACTGCCCTTCTGCTACTTGAGGCTATCCACCGAAGTCGTACGGATCCCGAAAAAGAAAAAAACAAAACACAAAACAGTTGTGCAAGCCGTAGCGACATCGCAGGCATTCGATAAAGACAACTGAAAGCAACTATTCTCAATAAAATTGCAATTTATGAAACGATAGCAACTCTGAGTGCTAGATGTTGAGACTGATTAAACATGTATAGTATTGGAATAAATGTAGACAACATTTATTAATGATTTATTTAGACATAAGGTAATTTGAATTGGGTTGACTTTTCTTTGACCAAGAGAGAGATTTACTACTTGAATATAAATAAAACCAAATGCAGACAAATTTCGATTGAACCTAGTGAAAGAGAAGCCACAAGAGCCTGTGCTAAAGCCATTCACACTACAAATCATGGCAGCTCAATTAACAGAGACGAATACAATTCAAACAATTTAAAGAGCGAAAATGGTTGCCGCGTGCCAAGTTGGATGCCATGAATTGCCAGGCAGCTCTGTTGTTCTTTTGTTTGAATTGCCAATTTCTTGCGTATATCAATACACATACATATATACGCGTACATAAGTATGTGTGTGCGTGTGTATTTTGCTGTTATTATACCATAAAACGTGCCAATGTTTGCAAAATATTTTCGCGCAAACAAATGGAAAATTTCTCGTTTGTATCGATGGATTGTGGGATGCCTTTTAGGCGCCAGGCCGTGTTCCAATGTTGATTTGTATGAAAGTCTTTGGTATAATGTTATTATAATAGAACGTGTCTGAGCCCGCGCACAGCTCGAGTTTGAGAACCACACGGCATAGAGCAAGCGAAAGCTTTACTCTGCTTACAAAATCTTTATCTTCAATTGGAAACTTTAGTTTTGTAGTACTTTGAAGCTACTGGTCATCATTCATCATGCTGTCACCTTTAAAAAAATAAGAGGCACGTGCCACGCCCATTTACCCTGTCGCTGGCTGTTAAATCAACGTGAACGCACTCGTCATAAACCAAATAAACAGTTGAGAAATTACATTTAAATTGCAAATTTTAAGCTCTAAAAAAAACATATGCACACACACACAGCCACGCACACATACACACTAGAGCTGTGTGAAATTTATGCGCAAGGACAAAATAATAACAAATAACAAAAAACAAAAGTAATAACAAAAACAGCTCAAAAAGTTTTTGACAAAAACATTAATTCACTTAGGAAATACCGCATAAAGTTAGCACTTCTTTCTCCTTATTTTTATTATTTTTCACACGGACTTTTTTCAGTCCTTTTTTCATATTTTCCTGCCTTTAGCTTTTGAAATTCAAATGAAATGCGAATGCATTCATTCTGGGTTCTCCAGCCAAGGCGTTTGAAACTTTTCAGTCGGCGCCATTAAAAACGGGTGACAAATCGAGCGGATTAAATGGAAATGCAATTTCTGTTACCCCATTTTTCGGATGGGAGCCCTGATGAGTTAATATGCAAATACCAGCAACAATCCTTTCGCTGTAAATACAATATATATAAGGGTTAGATGTATGTATTCCAATTTTAAATTTCTAAGCAGTGGCAGAGCTTCTTCGATACTTCAACATCGACCCTAGCCTAACCTCTATCGATAAATTGTGAAATTTTGAATTCCTGCGAACTCATTAACAGAAGTAAATTTTTTTTAATGTAACTTTTAATTTTTGGAAATTTCCAAGTTACATTATATTCTTCACCGTCTTCATCCGATATACATATTTCAATTTAATATAATGCACACGGCAAATATAATCTTAGAGATCTTAAAAGCCTGAAAATAAAGCAATTTGCCCATTTATTAAGCTTTTAGTGAGCTCGCAACGCTTAAGGAACTCTGCGCGAAATCATGGTTAACTTGTAAGCTTAAGTAATATCTTCTGCTCTTTTTAAGCATTCAATCAACAAAAATGACGCATTTCGAATTCATAAAAATCAAGTGAAATGCCACTTTACGCGCATTTTGATTGAGATTTAGCGCTGAATTTGCGATTACCCACAACGACGAGGACTAACCCGGCGGACAAGGACATCTCTGGCATCTTGCCACAGTCCTATGAATATTTTATGAAGTCAAGCTGAGAGTGAAAAACAAGAGGCGGCCAATGGTTTTTTGACGAAACTTAAATACACTTGGATGGGATGGATGGGTGCACTGATTGAAATTGGGAAGACTTTGAAGGAAGTAATAATAATTAATTTATTTCTTAATTAATTCAACTTTTAAAAGTATTCAAATTCTAAAATTATACGCATCTAAACGGTGCAGCGCGTAAAAAAGGTACTGTAATATAAAATATACATAAAAGGTATATAATATATAATCATCCGTAACAAATACATTTGTTCGTCTCAATATCTGATTATATTGCAAATGTGCCGGAAATGCAAAATAATTCGATTTTTATTTGGAAAATGTAAGTTTACTGTATTATACGGAATAAAAGCTTTAAAAGTGCATATTATATATTCTAGGAACTTCGTTAATTAGCATTGCTGACATACTTGCAAGCTTATATCACGACTGTTAGCCTTAGAATCGCATACGCTAGAGTCCTAGTTATCTTCATCCACTTTTGCTCCTTGACAAAATAAGTGTCAGCGGAGATAGCTCCCATAGAAGAGTATGAAAAATAGCAAACGCTGCGCATAAAAAGCAACAGCAAAAGGATAAGGTTACGGCGAAGGAAATGAAGAAAAGAAAATGCAGCAATTCGTGAAATTTATTTGTCAAGCAACATCTCTGCCCCGCCCCAGGCCACGCCCCATTTACAGCAGACAGGTAAATTAGAAAAAAATTTGTAGCTGGAACTCGAATGGAAACTAATTTGCATACGTTGTAGATGATTTCTCTAGGCATTCTCAATAATCGATACAACCTCACTTCATTCTCAATTTTTGTTCATTCTTTTGCTCCTTGAGTTAGCTGCAGCTGTACAAAAAATAATGGAGGCAGATGAGAGAAAAAGCAAAAACAGTCGACCGTTTGCTTGACGTGCTGATTTTTCATTGCATCGCTAAGGCCCATGCCACATGCACGAGAATGGCTCGCACAAAAAGGTCGAGGCTGTTGTCCTTATTTGCTGATTGTATGCAGCCTTCACAGGATCAAGTTCAAGAGCTTCAAGTGCTTGGGCCTGCCCTCAGCACTGCCCGCAGCACAGCGGTCCATCGCTCACTCAGTCAGATGGCCACTTAAAAATTGCCGAGAATTGTGCCACAACAGCAACAGCAACCGCAACAACAACATCAATGAAGGCGACAAGCGTTTGCAATCATCATGATGTTGATGTTGATAATATTTTTATAATAATATTTTTATTTAACAGTTTTGACTTGTTCATGAAAACCCCTCAAATCTTTCCCATTGACTCCCTCTCCCTGTCTCTCTCTCTCTCTCTCTGTTTCTCTTTCGCTTGAATGGTGGAACGAAGAGGCTAAACTTTTACAAGCAGCTCAAAATGCTCTGAAATGCAAACACTTGAACAACATTAAAAGCTATATTAAATAACATTTTTTCATATTTTGAAATGAAAATTCTTGAATAGAATGAATTTGAATAAGTGCATAATTATTTTTGATATTTGATATCAAATTGAATCTGTATCCTCGCAGACTGTGGCTGGTAAACTAGAACAACTAACTAGAGTTGCTTATTGTGCAGCTGAAAAATGCTCAATCGACTCTAGTTTGTTACTCTGTCGCTACAGAGAAAAGTCTTTAGAAGCTCTTTAGAGTAGGCAATTCCCGTGTATATGCATTACATATAGCCTTCCAAATCCGGTAAATATTTGTTTCCTGCAAGCAAAATTGCTAAGCCGTACTATAATGCAAAAGGGATTTATCGAATTCAATGAAAAATGATTTGATCATATCATTTTTGAAGGGTATTTATATATCGAACCTAAAGAGAGGATTTCTAGTAATCTTACCCCGATTTAGTACGCCAACTGCCGTATCTAAAATACTGCCGCCTATTTGCATGCCAAGGATATGCAAAATTTAGCAAAGCGGAAATTGGAGCTGCGAGCAAAGGTAGATGAAGGCATAATAGCAAACAAACAAAATAAAATAAATAATATATGTAAAATATAAATATAAATATAAATAAATGAAAAAAAAAGACGCCTGTAGTGCAACGCCGCGCCAGCTGAAGTCGACCCTGAAGCTGGGCACTGCGTTTCGTTCCATGCGCTTGCACATCACAGCCCAAGGTCAATGGCTGTGCGCTTGTGTGTAAGCAACGGCAACAGGAACAACAGCAACAACGAATACAACAGCAACAACAATAATGAAAAGCGCTCGAGTACATTTTCACACTCGAATTGACCAAACAAAACGAAACGAGCAGCCAAAGCACCTAAAAAAGAGCACGAAAAGAGAAGAGAGAAAAACAAGTAAGAAGACTCTAGTCGAGACTGCTCGACTAGGAGATACCCTG